AGGCCCATGAGATACGGACCGAAATGTGGGTTTTAGTCAGTCATCAGGCTGACCACAGTATTTTTTGCCTTGTGTATAGGTAAACCGTGTTTTACGCACGAAGGAATTACTCTATCATCGTATTAGATTTCGACCATTTTCCGGGTTACATGTTGTGCTTTTCCTGTAATGCTTTCTTTCTCTGTCGAAATACCTAAATCTGTTTTGCCTTCGGGAGCGTGGAACAGTGAAGTGTTGCTCGAATGTTTGTATGCAGTAGCGGCTGAAGTTAATTTGTAATCAGTGAACCAAGCTTCTCTTTGGTGCAATCAAGCGAAAAGATGGGGAGTACGTCGTTGACGTGCGAACAGTACGAGAGCTTATTGCTAGTGGTGATCATCGCGACAATTTCAACCGTTGCTGATTCATTAAGCCTACAGGATGCAATGACCATTGAATAACAATGCGCTAGGATAGTGGCCTAATAGTTAACCGGAAGGAAAGTGCTAAGATGACTTGCGTCATTAAAACACGAGGTATTAAAACGTACACTCGGCTGCCCAGAGACGAAATACAATAGAGAATGAAGCTGTCCGTTGCATCATCACTAACAAGTATTGGGGTACGCAGCTGAACGTTCGAATAGAATACCTTGAGCACGTTACATCAGTATTCAGAAAGGTGTGTAACAGTTTTTATTATCTACTCATGCTAACCTTCGAGAACGATATTCCGACTATTTGATTTCAGTTGCTTACTACCGTAGATTTTGCCGGTCTCGGAACGGAGACCATACCACACTCACATCAGCAAAATTGAACGAGCAGACAGTTATTACCGAACAGTCTTTGTGGTAATTAAAACAACCATGTAATTAGCTCAAACTCAGCGATCCATTGCTCAAACAGTTTCTGAAGACGGCTTCTGTGCACCCTGGAACAAGAAGTTCAGAGAATGTCATCCATTCAAGAGCAGAATTATACCACAGAATAGTAATGCCCTTGATCTTCAAGACTCTCTGAAATCCGGAATGGCAGATGTACATGATTGTACAAAGTTTCGCGCCGCAATATTCAGACCAGTGAATATTTTTCTTTTTGGTACAATAATAATTTTGTTGCTTAACCGAATAAAGTTCTTCTGATGTGGCCATACTGTCTGGTTCATGTGCCTTGCTGCTGCGGTTCGTTGTGACCCACCCACTAATTCGCTGAAAATAGGTACGACGTGTTAACCCAAAAATTTTGCCTTAATAAATTTTAATAAATTGCAAGTACGTAATCTTAGAAGTCAACTACCATATTTGGTTTGCGAGCATTCGATCGCTTTTTTTGTACACCGTCTACGTACTTTTACAGGCAGCTGCCTGAACTGTTGTTCTACATTATGGAACTGCGAAACCTTGTGTTAAAGCATGAGAACATCATCCGGTGTTACTATCTTCAGTATCTGAAAGGCTTTGACGCACCTCTCCTGGCGAATCTGGTTAAAAACGCTGTCTGGATATCAGACACTGAACGGTCGCTTGTGAACAGCATCACGGATACCCTGGCCAACATCTCCATGGATATTGCGAACCCAGGTAATATCACCGGCGTGGTAAATTACAAATTTAATCTACGATTAAGCCACTCCTTTGAAAGCTTAGAGAAATGGCACCAAAATGCGCTTCTATTCCGCAGTAGGAATGTGATGGAGTCAGCTAAACCATGCTGTTATTTATCACAATGTAGAACACTTGGACTACAGCTAGCGTATACCCGCGCATGCCTTATTCATTGGTTTCTATTAACGGAAGCACCTTAATTATGAAAGTCTAGGAGCCATACAATTTCAGGGAATTAAAATAGACCTTAACAAAACCAGCTACTGTACAGCAAAATTTAGCATCGTTATTATATACTATATGCGGTATTTCGGCATAGATATATAAAGGGCAAGTGATACAGAAAATGAAGTTTTACTGTCTCTTATATCAATTTCATGTGTGCAACAGATAAATTGAGAATAACCACACATTGCATTCAAGTACTGAAGACATCTACTCAGTTAGTCTGCGCCGATGAAAATAGTTTGAGCAACAGTGCAATGTTCCCTCTCGTAAAATCTGTTTTGTGCTTACCCTCACATGCTGTCATTAGTGCTTACTATAGTTTTCATATTGAAGGCTGATATTGGTTGAAAAAATACGATGCACGATTGAAGTGGCAAATTACGACTCTTCGTCGACTCAGGAATTTTTCTGTGCCGTCAAACGAATCATGGCGATTCGGGAAACATTAGCTTATCAGCTGCTTCCTCTCCAAATATAGAGATCTCAGTTTGTGATGGCATGGGTGTATTTTTCAGATGACAGAGGAAGACTCCAAAATGCATTCTCTTCGGAAAGTCAAGCAGGAGGTTTTCAAGTACATATAGCTTTGAAACAGTAGGTGATGGTATTGTTTGAAAATCTTGTCGAACGTCCTCTTGAAGTCAGTGGTTTGACGTTTTGGCGTGGACCTGTGGTTGATATCAACGTTTGGGCCTGCAGTCGAAACTAGACAGTGGTCATTTGCATCAGCTGATTGGTTCATCCCATCATGTTATATATTAACGGGTAGCTCTATTATCTATTAGTGCGATGTCGTTGTCAAACTAGTGAATTTCTTGTTAAAATTCCGTTATGATGATCAGGCGATGTCAGTCCATCAGCGCATGGTCTACGGTCGCGAGCTTGAATTTCTGTCGTTGGCAGACCGGCATCTTTATCACTTGTTTGACTTAGGCTTTCAAACTCGTCCTATCAGTGGAAATCTCTGTGAGTGCGTTGCGATGGCATTATTAAATTATTAATATCGATAATTATAATTTTATTATATAATTGCATCAGCGTCTGACTGCGTGAGGTCGGAAAGTCAGTACGTAGTCGTTTGACCGAGAAATAGTTGTACGCTCAGGAGGTCGTACCGTTCATATAATTGCAAATGGTCATGTGTATCGCTTACTTGATCTAAATTTTCACCTTCATTTTATACATCGCTGGAAAGCTGTTTGTGAGCGGAATATGGAACTTTCCTCATAAATATCAATTTCCATGTTAGCACCTTCGTCCGACAATTTCATTGGGACAATTTAGGCGTGGCCATTAAATCGACAGATGTCAGCGTTAACATCAGCACTGGCGAGTTTAAATTTATGGAAATTTCAGGAGCATATTCCTGCTTCTTTTATGGCTAATTTCTTCGTGTTGCATGTCAATAAAAGGCTCTCTCTAGAACAGTGCGTAACTCTGAATTTCTTGTTTGATGATTACACAATATCGATGACACCACGTCATTATAATTGAGCGCGCAGTCACCCAACTACGAACTGGTGAATTTCTGCATGAGATGCGTGATTTAACCATCATTCATCCACTAGCTAATTATCGAATGAGTGAATTTAAAAAATTCAATATTATTTTATGATTTCATCGTAGTGACTACGATCAGTAAGTCGATGGAAAGGCATTTAGTCGAGAATTAGAATTCAGTCATACTACACTTTGCAGACGTCTATTTCAATCCCATTTTTGCCTTCGTTAGCCAGATGGCTTGCCGATGGATAGTTCTCTACGACCACACTGCGAAACTTTAGTCAATTTTGGAATTCCAAAGAATTTCGATTTAATTATTTAATTTTGTGCAACATCGTGAAACCATACAGCCAATAGGGTGTCGCCACTGCGATTTCATTACTGTTAACCTTAAACGCATGCTACACTCTTCATGGACACGGGACACGCGAATGAGAGAGTGCATTGAGTATGGCAGTGCTGCTGTTGAAACGCGTTCATAAAAAATTTTCAAGGCAACGGAGAACGAAAAAATTTTGGCGTTGTGAACAAAAAATTCATTGTATGGGAAGGATTTACACATCAAATACTACGGATATTATGAAACTTGGTGAACAATCTCATGACACTTTGGCAGCTGCTGTGGAGATAGCCGAACTTGTAAGTACGATTAAAAGGCCTGCAGGAGAATGAATAGAAGGGAGCTTGGAAGTCATTAACGGTGCACATTTGGGCTCTGGCAAGAAACTGTGAATTTGCTTCAGAAATATTTCAGCTATTTAGAGAATCATCAGAAGGAAAATGACATGAACGCTGCTCCTCCCAGCTCCGCTGAATTTAAAGGAATTGGTTACGCCAGGATTTTGAGGGAATCGAGGACGTGGTTTGCAGGTGGAACATTTCGGCGGGCATCGTCACTGTTTTCACAAATTTATGTAGTGTAGGCCAAATGGTTCGGTGGTATTAATCCTGCCATGTACGCACCTTTATCAAAAAAACTTTTTCAAATGATAAAAACAAGGGTACCAGAACTTCATCCGGATTCGATAGTTTGTGATTTCGAAATTGCTCGGATGGAAGCAACAAAAGGTCTCGTTTCTAGGTGTTCAACTTCATGGTTGCTTTTACCATCTGAATTACAATATGATGAAGCATTTGAGCGAAGTGAATTTACTTGGTGTTTATAACGCCGACGCTAATTTTGCCTTGATAACAACACCGGCGTTTTGCATCCATCGTTTTCCAGACCAGTGGAAGAGCTTCCCAACGAACTGCAGCCACATCCCAGAAAGTACAAGACGTCCAGCGCTATTTCTGCTAGAAATTTGGCCGGTATATTGTAGTGTGATCTGCAGTGAAGACCATGCAAATATCCTTGCTTAGGCAGCGCATCGACGCCGTAAAGGGAATGTCACACTCGTCGGCATGGACGTTAGTTGATGAATTCCGCGAAGTGTAGTACGGTTGGGAAATATACTGCGAACAACTTGCTGCCGGTCATCGGTCATAAGTAAAGATGAAGAATTATTGTGAAGCGGATAAAAAAATGAAGTCTGTTGTGAATAGCTGTCTTAATAGAAACATGATTACTTTTCTCCGAGGGTTAGCGCATAACTACTAATGTTATATTACAATAAAATAATTGTTTCCATGACGAATATAATTAATTTTTGCTTTAATTTAACGTTGTTCGATTTCGACCATTTTTTTAGCTGATTTTCAAACTTTAAATTCTTTGAAACACTGATAATGTTATCATTCCTTTTGTAGTTAATATTTTCGTAGAATGCAGTGAATGATACATGACAGACATATGTGAAGATTACATATATGAATTGTCGACCTAACGAGACATACAAATTCACCATTGCTCGCGATTGTTAATGCTAACGTTGACTTGCGCTGTTTGATGAACTAAAGTAATTGTCAGAGAAACCTTCAGAAGAAGGTGTAAACTGTGAAATTGATACTTATGTCCGCAGTTTGACATTGTGCTCACAAAGTG